TCGTAAAGAACTATATTGCAGTTAATTAATTTATTTTATCAGAAAATCAATAAGTATAAGTTGGGAGACAGATATAGACAGACTATCAGATGACATTTAAGCTTTGATTTTGATTTGTTTGAAATTTTTATGTGACTGCCTAACTTTACTGATTCAACCACAACTGGATGTTTTACATCAGTATATTTATGCGTCAAAAAATTTTTTGGTTGAGACGCATTAAAATTTCACTTTTAGTCTCAGAGGCGAATGTATCTCTTCTGATTAAACAGACGGGAGGTGAGGCAGACATGAGACCGTTAATAAACAGACAAATGTCGATTGCTATCGTTGCAAAACTTCAGAAAGAATCTTAGTTGATAAGTTAGGATATAAAACGTTAATGGATTTTAAAACGGGAAACATCAATACACTAAAGAGATAAACTTTATGAAGCTAGGTTACTAACCTATTAGGTGTCTAATATTATTACGTCAGAACCCGAAGTATGAAGAATGGAACCAACACTACGTTACGAAGTGACGTATGTTTCAACCGTAGCTGCTACCTTGACGCGGTGGTCGGGCTTGCCTATCGTGATGACCCAACCGAGCTATATTGGCTGGAACATATGTTCCTGTAGGTTCTACCATGCCAGACAGGTCGACTGGAGAACGGTAAGACTAAAAGCAGCAACTCAAGGTCTGAGGGCGAAGTCGTACTGCTGACTGTAGAGGGGTGTGGCAGCAGTAAGGTGATTCCCTCAGACAACCAGCATCTACAGCAATGCTGCCTTCTCACAAGGAGGGGTGGGGTTAGAAAAGGTCGACCCTAAAAATGTACACCTCGCCTTATCCCACGGATATCCGTCTCCGGCGGTAAGGTCTCAACACGTACGGAGCTAACACAAAAATTACTCATAAAAAGGTCGTGTGTGACCGACCTCAGGCAGTTGTCCCTTGGGCTCTGCGGTCACGCTCCCAGGTCGTCAAGACCAACACTAATCCAATTTCCTTTCCAGGTTCCTCAAGAAATACCCTTCCACGGTGTGGGCAGCCGGGAAGTGACATCAGCCCTCATACCCGTAACAGCACACGAGACCAAGTTGGTCACATTCGAATCCTTCCTACACCTCTTATACCACTCTTATCTCCCCGACTAACACTTCTCACGTCCTTTTTTCACATCGCACCGCTAGGGCAAACGATTCGAGTACGCGGAACGTTATTCCCGGTCTCCTGAAACCACGCTTTAAACTACATGTAGGAGCTTTTACCGTACGAACACTGTGCCAAATAGGACGACAGGCTTCCTTAGCTAGAACTTGAGAATCTCGCACCATCGGTGTGTGCTGCGTCTCCGAAACGCACATACAGGATCCTAGTAGCGTCATTCATTTGACAACACCATGCCAAAACAAAGAACCAACTCGATTCACACTTCGTGTATCTGGAAGCCAAGATGCTGCTTCTCGTGGACTCGCCGGCGTAGGTATAGCATTGAGTCCTAGGGCAGAACTAGCTCTCTTAGACTGGTTACCAGTAGACAGTCGTTTGTGCGCTGTCCGACTAAACGGAACAATAAGGACTCAGAAAGATAGGGACACTTGTCGTTGCCTCTTCGTCGTCTCTGCCTATTTTCCCACTGACTGCAGCGCACATGATGTAAAAGATGAGTTTTACAAAAAGCTTTCCGAACTTCTACGAAAAGCTAGGCGCTCTGATGTAGTAATAATGGCCGGCGACTTTAATGCTCAAGTAGGTAAACTAAGCGATAGGGAAAGACACCAAGGCGGATCTTATGGTGTCGTGGCTCAAAGAACAGATAATGGCGACCGTCTGTTGCAGCTATGCTCAGATAACCGCCTGTTCCTTGCAAATACTAACTTTAAGCATAAGGAAAAACATCTTTTAACATGGCGACCACCTAATTCGTCCCAACGTTGGACCCAAATAGATCACATCGCTATCAGCTACCGATGGAGGGGCTCGATAGAAGACAGTCGCTCATTCTGGAGCACATGCTTAGGTTCAAATCATGCTCTAGTACGAGCGCGTATCTGTCTGCGTCTTACTGGACGTAAGAAAGATGCTGTGAGGAAACCTCTTAGGGTCCTGTTTAATGATAGTCAAACTAAGAGCATATTTCAGGAACAACTAGGAAAACAGTTAGGCAGCCATGTATGTGATGCCCACCCAGAGGCAGCATGGAATGATATCCGAAAAGCTGTGGAAATAGCAGTGATATCTGCTAGTACGGTAACCCGTAAGGTCAGGGAGCAACACTGGATCTCAGCAGCATCTATCGCACTGATAGATGCTCGGAAACTCATTCCACCTGGTTCTGAACATAATGAGAAGCGGAGTCAGCTTAAGAGCAAGCTGACAAGAAGCCTACGCAATGATCGTGAACAGTGGTGGGTAGCGAAAGCAAGAGAGATGGAAAAGGCAGCGGCAATAGGTAATAGCAGACAATTGTTCAGACTCGTTAGGGAAACCGGTATTAGGAACCCGACTGTTAGCGAAACAATCTCAGAGAAAGATGAACATATTATTCATTCTCAATCCAGGAGATTGGATCGATGGGCAGAACACTAGGGATCAGTTCAACTGGCCTTCAGCCACACTTCGGTTTCCCACGATCTCTAGTCAACCTGAATGGCAAGTTAATGTAGGTCCTCCGACTGTTTACTAAGTTGCAAAGCCATAGGAAATCTGAAACGAGGGAGAGCAGCAGGTCCTGACAGGTTTACTCCTGAGATTTTTAAGGATGGTGGTCCAGTATTAGCAATGAGATTAACCGAGGTCTTAGGTAGAATTTGGGAACTGGACGTAATCCCATCTGACTGGTCTCAATCACTGATTGTGCCAGTCTATAAGAAAGGACAAAAGTCCTCTTGTGACAATCACAGAGGAATCAGTTTGACTAATATAGTGTCTAAAATATTAGCTTCAATAATACTTCGACGCCTAACTAAAGCTCGTGAAGAACAGACTTGAGAAAACCAGGCTGGTTTTCGACCTGGACGTGGTTGTATAGACCACATATTCACACTACGTCAGGTTCTAGAACACAGACACATTCAGACGCCCCACAATCGTAGTATTTATCGACCTCAAGGCAGCATCCGACTCTGTTGATCGTGAGGTTCTATGGCAGTGTTTGTCACTGAAAGGAGTACCAAAGAAGTACATTAACCTTGTAAAGGCTCTCTACTCGAACGCAACTGGTCGAGTGAGAGCTTATGGCGAACTGTCATCAGAATTGATTACCTCAAGTGGTGTTCGTCAGGGCTGCCCACTCTCTCCATTCTTGTTCAACTTTGTCATTGACGTGCTTCTAGAGATAACACTTGCCTCGTCTAAATTTCCAGAGGTTGAACTTCTACCGGGAGATTCACTTGTTGACTTGGAATATGCCGATGACAGAGTTCTATTTGGTGAAGACGCTGACGAAATCCCGAGTCTTCTGACCACTCTAAGCAACAATGCAAGCATGTTCGGCATATGATTCTCCCCTCGAAATGTAAAATGTTGCTTCAGGATTGGGTTGCATTGACACCCGAACTAATGATAAGGAGTGAAGTAGTTGAGCGTGTCGACCGCTTCACTTATCTTGGAAGTCTCATCAGCCTTTGTGGTCTGGTGTGTGACGAAATCTCAGCACGGATACAGAAGGCTCAACTAGCTTCTGCCAACTTGCTTCATTTATGGAGTAGGCGAGATATCCGTCTATCAACCAAAGGACGTGCTTACTGCACAGCAGTTCGTTCCATCCTACTTTATCGCTGTGAAACATGGCCGGTAAGAGTAGAGGATATTCGTAGGTTACTAGTATTTGATCATAGGTAACTTCGAAACATTGCTCGTATATCATAGGACCATCGAGTAAGTAACACAGTTGTTAGGAAACGGGTACTAGGTAAGGATGGCAATCAATTGATGAAGTGGTGAAACTTTATCAGTTGAAATGGCTGGGACACGTGTTACGTATGCCCAACGATCGACTACCTCGACGTGCTATGTTCAGTGGTATAGGAGTAGGTTGGAAGAAAGCTAGGGGCGGCCAGACCAAAACATGGCACAAGTCCATGAAGTCACTGACAAGTGGACTGAGTCATGTTGGTAGGTGTAGACTACCTGGTTGGGGACCGCGAGATGATAGCAACCGATGGTTAGAGACCCTGAATGACATGGCTCAAAATCGTTTGCAATGGCGCAGGTGCATCCACTCTCTGTGTTCTCCAAATTCTAATCTTCTGAATTCTTCATGTCCCTTTTTTCCTCTTCCCAAATTTACTTCACTGTATTATACTCTTTAAATAACATCTCCAAACACTAATTTTCCTGATTACTGCTTATACTCTTATTACCTCTACCACTACGAGATTTGAATCGACAACTGCATCTCTGTGCCAATGTGGTGTAACAACTCGAACTGATGTACGTACGTACGAAGTTCTACGTTGTTATTGACTGACTGAGTGAGTCATGTATGACTAAGTAATGTCAGAAAATAAAAGCATCCACACCCATAGAATGAACCTAGGTTAGGATGGGTCTTAGGATGAAAACCATAATTGAATCAAGCTCTGGTGTTTACAGTGATTTACTAAAAGAAGAAAACAATTGTTGGCATTTTAGTTCCTACTAGTTAATGCTAACATTTTTTGATTAAACGTGCAAGTAGAAATTAAAGTACATCAATGAAAAAGAGACAAGCCACAAAATTTGATAATCAACCTCGAAAGTGGAACTCAATTATAAATAAATATGTCTCTAAAATTTGGAAACGTACGTTACGTAAATCGCTTTTTTATCCCTATATTAGAGAGATATTACACTTTACATAGTGAGAACTCTGTAAAACAAAACTTGAAGTAGAACAGAGATATTTACTCCACGTAAAACTGATTTCCCCGGAAAATCAGTCATGTGGATAAATAGTTAAAAAATAACTGTTCTGATTAGAGTACTTAAGTGTATTTGGAAATGTAAATACAATTTCTGTGAATAACTTACTTAAATCAGAATCAAAAATAGCAGAATGTGGATCCCGAATGAACGTTTTCTCAAGTTTAAATCTGAAAGCCCCAATTGAATTAAGCCTCATCAAAAGTATACCTTACCTGGAGGCTTTTGATCTGCTAACAAGTCCGGGTAAGTCGACAAAAGCCTAGAGAGATGAAACATTTTCACAAGTAATATTTAAACGAATTAGGATTAGAACGCGTAAAACTGAATATAATGACACAATCTGTTATACTTTCAAGCAAATCCAACAAAAATTTCCTTCATTTATGTTTATCATACCGATAACAGGAAACACAACAATTTGTACAAACACACTGACATGTTTCCACTACTCTTCATTAGTGTTCCTGCTGACTAAAAATCTTTCGATTTACAAGTTATTCACACATATAGGACCGATGACTGAAAACTTCCGTTTCCCAAAGTTAATCGCATTCAAATCTGCGTAGACTGAATCAGTAGTATATTATTAAAATAGATTAAATATACTAAGAGACTGGTAGCTAAGCGCTAATTTTTTCCCTCACTCATCATATGAATAAAAAATTCATCTATTGTTCTTTATTACAAATGTACAGTTTGGTCAAACGATTTCTGTGTGCTAGAGAAAATACATTTTAGCACATTCTTTCCAGTCGAATTGTGAAAATGTACCTAAAATGAGTTTTAACCCATCTAGAACCAAATACTGGTAGCCTATAACTCCTTCAGTCAATCATACGCATTGTAGAACTTAGGATAAGTGTAACTCGGTTCACGTTATAACGCCCCATCAGCTTAACGAGATGAAATTATCGAAACAAATCCCACAGTACAGGCAGTAACAGTATAAGTGGTATTAGAAAGGACTAGCTACCGAAGATATGATTATAAAAATGGATACGGATCGGCAGGTTAGAAATAAAAAAAGTCTGCTAGGTAGTTTGGGGACTTGGGATCCAAGGGAGGAAAAACATTAAAACACCTGCGCCATTGAGAACGATTTTAGCCGAACCACTCAAAGTTTCTGACTATTAGTTACGAAAAGCATAAAGATCCCAACTGCGTAGTCCATACCTATAAACATAGTTGAGTTAAACAGTAAAAATCTTCATGGACTGATGCGAATCTTTATCGACTCTAACCTGTTAAAATCGATAGTTGGTTTGTCGATAACATATTACCAAGTCTTCTATGAATCCGGTGTTCATCATGTTGTGCTAACAGCAACTTGGACCGATGCACACATATGCACATATATGTTGTAGCTGACTGACTGACTGACTCATTTGCCCACCAATGGCTTCATTTCGGTCCTTACTTATTGCAAAAATAAGTGCTTTTTCGAGCCTGATAGGCAGCTAAAAATATGCGAAGTATGACCTACCCATATTAGTTATTGACTGTTGAGTACTCAGTTAATCGATTCATTACATTGTCATCATTCAATAAGAAAATATGGTACATGCAGCTGTTTAACGGGCATTGGGAATAGAAGATCAGCATCTACATTGTGCAGTGTCTAGTAATAATAAAATCAGTCGATGAACAAAAAAAAACTCGCTCAGCAATATTACGATCCTTAAAAACAACAGGTGATTGAAATAAACCACTTCAATTTGTGTACTGTTTGTGAGCGAATATACTGTTAACCTATTTGTTGGCCATGTAGTGAACGAAGACTTGGTGAGAATGGTCAACTTATTGTTTAATACAAAAGTACAGAATGTCTTTGTAAAATACGAAAACCATACATTAAATACTTCATTCGCACATCTTCCATCAATTGTCTCTTACAAACCTCACCAATCCTTCATTCGTGTTCACTTCAATTCGATCTTTTTAACCTTCTGTTGTCACGCATTCCACTTGTGATTGGTGTTACTACTTTTGTCTGTCGGCATAAGTAGCATACACCGCAACGTTATCCATTATTAAAGTACAGGAAAATTGCCTAACATTAGTTCCTAATTCAAAAAATCACTCTTCGAAAACCTCTGTATACACACAGGCTTACCAATTGGACATTATCTTGAAAATACGTAGCTGTCTGTTTCGACCGAGTTGTGTGGGCTTTTCCAGACACCGCGCAAACTTTCCACTTGGTAAGCATATTTACCAAACTTGACTTTCCACTATTTGGACAGCCTATCACGGCAACCTTTAGAACGCGAGCATCAGGAGAAGAAAGTGGTTGCTGAAGTAACAAGTTTTCTAGATATTCTCCTGAGAGATGAAAAACAGGAATGAGGAGTTGGAAATATGGGAGAACACCGCCAATTAAATTGATCAGTGAAAATACAACCAATACCTAAGTAAAAGCATAAACTAAAATAAGAGTGACAATTGCCAAAATTCTGTAAGTCCAATGTAAACTGAATATCAATTTCCTAAATATTTACCAAACAAACAAATGAACAATACATTTGGCTATTAGAGACGTACATTGTTAGCCAACTTTTTTTATGAACAGAGACATATTGCAGTTTTATATTATACTTTGTAAAGTTATTAAGTAGTCCTGAGAAATTATGTGAGCAAGCAAAGTTGGAGTACAAAGTATTCATATGAAATAAAATGGGATTTCTTTGAACTATTAAAATTCATTCTAATCCATTTAATCAGTGCGATGAAAAGAACATTTACACAACTGGAAAACATAAATAGTAAGGATATATCCTAACGCCTGTTACTCCACTAGAGGCATAGACCGCTGACCAAGGATCTTTAACCAACTCTGTCCTGGGTTCTCTATCCTAGTTGTCGCCAAGCGTTTCGAATAACCATGATATTTACCTTCCATCCCCGGTTCTATGTGTACTTTAGTCTGACTCTTTTACTTTCTGCCTTTGGAATGTGGCATTTTAGGTGATGACTAACTTCATATTTAACAACTGACTTCAATTAAAAAGCTTACATGTTATACTACGATGACTAAGATTAATCAGGAACTGTGATTTAAAACTACACCCACAATACCCAGTAATTTAACAATGTTGAAGCTCAATAAAAACTCCTAAAAATAACAGGACCACCTGTTCTTCACGACTTTAAGTCTGTCACGATCACTGTTTTTAGTAAAATTAAGAGCACTCAATATTAAGTTCAACTTGTCCCAGCAAAACAGTCTATGGAGAACTAGCAAGCTCCCTAAGGTGTTCGATTTACTATTACGCCATCCATCTGTAATCGTTTGTCTCTAAGGTCGTGTTGAATCTAGTATCTTTAAGGAACACAGTAGTCCGATGTTTACTCATCTCACAAACCCTGATTATTTGCAAACCGATTAAACTTTATTAGACAAAATCTGAGACACTTTAGTCCATTTTTGTTTTTGTTTCCGTCCATCCAGGACGTTATCAAAGTCCATTTACGTTTACCAACCTACAACTGTGAGATGAATGCTGCTTCACCTAGTATTTAGAATTTGGCAAGATCTTCACTACAAGTATTCTTGCCAACACCTTCCATAACTGCACTACTGCGATGCCAGTTACAGGACCAGTATTTGTGACTGAGAACGTTTACTAACCTTGAATCTAGTAGGTCACCGGGTCCTAACAGGTTATACACACAATTGCTGTCATCCCTCGTGGACACTTTCGGAACTACTCACGATGCTGTTCAAAACATACCTTAACCAAAGGGACATGATAAGAGAAAGACTGAGCCTAAACACCAACTTACCAGCGTAACTAGCAATGCGGTTAAGATATATGGAAAAATAATTCGAACGAAGTTGCTAATTCAAGCACAACCACACAATCTGTTGACTTCTTAACAACATGGGTTTCAAAATAAACATTCATGCTTAACTTATTAGTTGTGAGAAAGGACTGGACAGAAGACGAAAGCAGCGGTTTGTCTCTTGATATGATATTCACCGACTTATTCAGAGGTGTCTCATTTGGGACTTATGCAGAAGCTCTCCAGCGTTGAAATAACAGGTGCCATTAAACACTGGATACGAGATCTTCCCTGTGTCCAAAGACATAGGGTGAGAGCGAATGGGGCACTATCTGAGTTAAACCAGATAAAAGTGGAGTAATCAAAGCTACCAACTCATGTCCCCTATTTTGTCTTCTCTATTTAAATGAATTATCAAGATGTTTAAGTCGTCGATCCTTTTGTTTGCAGAGAACGCCAAAATTTGCGAAACAAGTGGTCAGGCTGATTATGTTGGTTTTCAAGCTGATCTAGAAAATAAGTAAAACGATCCCAAAGTTTGGGTTCCTAAATTAATTCTAGAAAGTTTGCTAATGCACATCGGACGCAGTAATAGCTACCATCATACACTTCCACGCATGCAGGTAAAGAATATAGTGATATTGGATCATGACTTGAAAACAACTACGCATTACAATGTAACAGCCGCCAAAAGCATTAGGGTGCTCTAGTCATTCAGTTGAGAGTCCAAATGTTTTGACGTAGATATGCTTTAAATTGTATACCCCACATGTGTGAGACCTCACTAAGAGTACTGCATTTGGGCATCCAGTCCATGTATTACTAGGTATACCATCACTTTTGAGCGTGTTCAACGTGTGAGGACTAAGTTAGAGTCAGGTATTCTCAGATTTCCTTGCTATGAAATCGCAAAACGCTGACAACTTTTACCCTTATAACAGAACGTGAGGTAACGCCATATTGATACGTTGCATCCCAAATGACGAGTTGAGTGCTAACATGACCAACGTTTTTTCTCCCTCCAAGACCATTCATATCCAAGCCAATAAGGTTCAAAAAACATAAATCAAATAAACTGAGTGAGAATCCGTTTTCCTTATCGATAACTGAAACTCCCTAACAGAACACGCGGTGTCAGTCTTATCAGCTAACACTTTTGAAGAGAAGCTGGATTTTTAATGGGAAATAAGCAGTAAAGTTTGACACAAGTAAACTGACCTACAATCCTCATTACTGAAGACTGAAGATAACACACTAGGAATTAGAAGATTATAGAAGGATATAAGAGCTTTTGCTAAAAATAAACTTTTGCACAGTTATCTTTAATTCACAGATACAGAAAAATCAGATCATTTTCATAGCTATTTATTACGTACTTTTTGTATTTGGAACTGATCGCACTTGTGATTGATATATGGCTTGTTCCGTTGAAGCATTTGTTCCTAACGGCCTTAGGATTAAGTCTGTCGGACTATTAACTCTCAGGAAGAGCTTGACGACTGAAAACCTACATAATCTCCCGAGGGACATTTCGAACTTGTGCGACCTTCAACCATCAAAATCTCATTCAAATGGTTCAAACGGTTGTGGACGGGACAGAAGACGCTTTCGCTTAACAGGCTTCCGTTTCTAGTAGCAGGGGATCACGAATAACTCCGGGCCCGAACTTAGGTATGTTAACGATAAAAGAGGAAAAACAAAGTGGTAAATCATAGTATGATACTATCCTTAGACCTTAAGAATAGATCAAGTTGCCTCTTAAAGGACTCCTGAGAAGTCGTTTGGACTAGATCGACCGGCAGCGAATTCCAGCATTTGACAACTCTTAAGGAGTAGAAGCTGTGTCTACAGTCCGTTCTACTATGTTGTATCTCCGATTTCTGGGTGTTAACACTTAGGTTAGTGTTGGAACTAAGCTTAAGTAGGTGTTTATGAGGATGTCCAGAAGTGTTAAGGATACTGTAAGCCATTAGGAGGGCACCTCTAGGACGCCTATACTCTAATGGGTAAAGGTTAAGTGATTGGAGGTGTTTTTCATAAGATTTGAATTTGAGTTCCCGAATTGATTTCGTGGCTCGCCGTTGGATACGCTCCAGAGTGTCCTTATCCTTTTGGAGTTATGGAGGAAATACTATGTTCCCGTACTCTAAATGGGGACGAATAAAACTGTTGAAGATTATGTGGAAAGTTTTTCTGTCAAACTGGCCAAAAATGCACTTCAGTGTTACGAATGCAAGGTTTGCTCTAAAGGCGTTTCTGTCACATTTAACGTAAGACTTTAAATCATAGGGTACCAGGACTCATAAATCTTTTTCGACTCGGGATACTGTTAGAGAGGAGTTTCTTAAGTTTTAACTGTAGTCTACAGTATGTCGCAGATGGACTATTTCACACTTTGAGGAGTTAAAAGTAAGTCCGTTATCGTCTGCCCAACTGTGAGGTCGAGTCAGAACCTCTTAAAGTGCTTGTATATCGTCTTGGTTGCGTATCTCTCTCCAGAGTTTCACATCATCAGCAAAGAGTAATGAGTCTGACGTTACCTGTTGTGAAAGATCACTTATATAAATAAAGGAGGGAAGAGGTATTAGTACTGAGGCCTGGGGGACCCCACTAGGACATTCCATAGCCTGAGAGAAAGTGAAGTTAACCCTGACCTTAAAATGTCAATTTTTCAGATATGAAGTGAGTCAGTCATAGGTGATCTGATACCCAGTCGTTTGAGCTTATTGATATGACATACATGGTTGACTCTATCAAAAGCTTTTGAGAAGTCGTGGTAAATGATGTCAACCTTCCCCTTGAAACCAAGGATCCATGTTGATCTGTCCACCGCAGTCAGCAGGTAGGCTATACAAGAACGACCCTTCCTGAAGCCATATTGTTGGGGTGAGAAGAAATTTAAGGACAGTAAATAGTCATATATATCATCGCATATCAGGGACTCCATGATTTTTGAAGGTATAGAGAGAAGAGCCACCGGTTGGTAGCTTGAAGGTTCGCTGCATCGACCTCCTTTGAAAATTGGTGTGATGTGAGCAGCCTCCAAATTTCCGGTAGTTTGCTTCGACTTAGCGAGTGTGAGAACATCACGCTAAACGGTGATGCCAGGACTGAAGCTGCTTCCCTCAGTGTAGCAGAATGAACCATATATGGGCCAAGTGAAGTGTCTTTTTTTAGGTGCTGCGGTTTCCGGGACACCAAGTCGGAGCTCAGGTTTACATCAGAAAGTCCTGTGCAGTTGCAGATGAAGCTTTCATCAATATAGTTGATGTGGGTCGGTTGAAATGTCCGAGAGTATTGTTCAGCCAAAAGGTTAGCGGCGTCGTCATCGTTTTTTGTCGGGCCACTAAGACCTAGCAGTTGGGAAACTCCAGTTTTGGCTTGTCGAAGAGAGGCTGCATAACGGAATAAGTTTACCGTATCGGAGACAAATTTATGCATAAGCTTTATCTGACAATGAGGCCTGTCTTCTCTTATAGCCTTCGTGCATTTGTTCCTTATATTTTTGTATTGACCGTTCGCGCCGTTGTTATCAGTTCGTTTGTATTCTGCCCGACGAAGAGTGCTGTTCTTGATGATTGTAGATTGCTTGTAGATTTTGGGAACCCTTTGAAGAACAGACTGCTTTGTAGCACACTAGAGCGTGTGCAGTGAGAAATTTCAATGAGTATCCACATCAAGTTGAGCGTGAACATCCCGACCCACCTGTTTTAGATAGTCCTGTAGAGCTGACACCTCCAACCGTTTGAACTTCCATTGCCTGTTGAAGGTGGGATATCTTAGCTCAGTTTTGCTAACAAAACTGAAGGTTATGACGGCGTGATCGCTTTTTCCCAGGGGAGCCAGAATTGAGAGGTTGTCAACTAGGGATTCATCGTTTGTAAATACCCAGTTTGAGCGCGACGGCGTCTGACTGTTTCACCAACTAGTTGCCGACTTCACATTTTCATATAACACCAGATCCTCAGTGAGGTTGAAAAACCGAGCTTTGGTTGAGTTTTCACCTCCAATATATGTATGTTCCGCGAAATTAACGTTACGAAGATTGAAGTCCCCTAGAATCAGGATATGAGTGAATCCGAGGCGCGTAGAGCGGGGTAGTCCTTCCAGCATACGACTATCATACTCGATGTCAGCAGTGAGCTTCCTGTAGATGACCCCGACTAGACATCTCGAGGTGGTAGACAATCTTACAGAGCACCACACGGATTAACCGGGACTGATAAACTCTTGTTTGTGCGATTGATGTACTTCCAGGCGTGATCGTAAGTATAAGGGCACTCCACCCCCAATTTCTGTCTTTCTGTCATTGCGAAACAAAGACATACCAGGTATTGCTAGCTCCTGGTCCGTAAACTGTGATATCAAAGTTTCAGATATTCCTATGACATAAGCATTATTTGCATTGCTAATTTCACTTAGCCCATCTATTTTATTTGTTAAACTCGCGGCGCTCATGTATAAGCAGTTCATGCTTTCAATTTGAAGCGCGTGAGTTCCTCCTTCCTGTTCGTCTGTATGAGCCTCATGTGAATAGACAGGTAGCCTACCTATACAAGATTTTCCGAGTTGATAGTCCCTGACCTTTGCACGTTTTTGTATGATCAAAACAGTCCACAAGTGGAATGGTCAGCTTCAACTTGCCTTCGCACTTGATCCTGGCGTCATGTGGTCTATCCGGGTGTATATGGATTCCAGTTCGCAACCGACGTCTGTTGGCATAAAATGCCTCCTGAGTTGCAGCCACCATATGGGAGGATGGGAAAGCTATCCTCATTAGCCGGGGACTAGAATCACCGTCCGTCTTGGCTAGTCTCGTCGCATATTGAGTCAGTATGTTTTTGAGCCTCAAGGACTGCTATATGAAAATGCCTAATAACGCATCCAGCACCAGATCACAAGTGAATAACTCGTGCTACATATCCCTTGCAATTACTAGTCAGCTTATATCACATGCATCTAAACGCATCGAAAATCTTCCAAATATATTGTAGAGCTAAATAAATCCCCAAAAGAAGTAGCTCTGTAAGTCTTCGACATCAGATGCTGACCATATTCGTTTTAATGGACTCACCTAGCTGAAGGCTCTCAGTCATGCATCCGCACCAGATCACGAGTAGGAACGCCGTGCTCAACAACCCTTGCAAGCGCTAGCCAGATTAGATCAGAAGATCCTCAATATATTGATAGCCTATCAAATATATCTTCGAACCTCCTCGCTTCTGTCTTTTGATTTCACTTGGTGAGTACGATTAACGGTAGAAAGTGTTACTGGCATAAGCGTTGTCAAACTCCGAATACCCGTGGCATCTTCAATAGGCTTTATTTCCAGAACAGGTTTCTACAATGCATTGATCACAGCAGTTAAATCTCCCCGTGTTCAGTTGCTACTCATTGTTACCTTCACTGATATACCCTACATAACTACAACTCATCATCTTAACCCCTTGGTACCTATCACTTGGGATATTATAGGCACAGCAAACTGCCAATAGGCAATACCACTACTCCATCCCTAACATGGTTCTAATTCCAATAGACAATAGACAAACCTTAGGTTATTTATTGCGACTCATCAAGTTCATTAGTAAGCCAGGTATAAAATATCGACTAGGTGGCATTCATATAAACTACTCCCTCGTTGTGATTTTCATGTTTCTGTAGTGTCGGTTATTATGTCAAACCTACATACCTTATTCTAGCTTTCGGACAGGCCGATTTATTCGTTCTGCCTGAGTCACATTTTGATCGTGTTAATTATTTACTTATCAACCGTGACTTTTTATGTAAGCGCATGTGTGTACACTTCTGATCCTATTCATCACATGTCTGTAGCTTATTTTTGTGTGAGTATAAACGTTGAACAACATTATTAAGCAATACATAGTGTGCGATAGCTATCTATAAAGATTCATTGGCCTTTATAATAAGGTTCGAAACTTTGAAGGAATCAGAATGAACTGATACCTCTACAAATACTAACATTGGGCACTTTTTAGGGTTTCGAGGTTGACATGTCCCATTTAAGGTGAAGATCTTATTCTGGATTCCTGTTATTCGTCACTTGATATAATTATCTTCCAGATGTGATGACAATATAGTGGTTTCAAAAAAGTTTAATATCGATTTTTCCAATGATAATGGTGCATACATCGAAATAATGAACTACTGAAAAATCAGTAGTACGATAACACCTTCAGATAATCATAATAACAAAATAAGACATGGAGTTAATGTGTTGAGTTTGATTATGTAAAATAAATAACAACTACGTTTAGCTTCACTTTTTTGCTACAAAGTTTCAATGATTATGTTTTTCCTCATGTTTATTTATAGTTTCAGATTTTCGAAAGGATTTGTTGAAATTGAGGAATCACTGGCTGGTCAGTTGTGTATCAGAGACTGTCATTAATACAACGTGTTCTATATCAGTGACTTGTCACTTTGACACCAGATAACTATGAAAATGTTCATGCTAAGCAGTATTTTCGCATGATATTCTACCAGTGTGTCACAACTTTGATAAAATGAAATTCTACGAGG